CAGAGAAAGACTGATGATAATCGTTGACCCAGGAGAGGCCATTAATGACTTCACTGAAAGTCATTTGGTAGCAGCAACAGCTGTGATGGATCTTGAAGCATGACTGGGATATTGCCAGTCACTGGAGAGTGCCTATGTGCATATGGGTGAGGGGGCTTTGGAGAGGAGTATGAATGGCAGGAGAGTCCAGGCAGAAAAATCAGTGTGAGTAAAAGTAAATGCACAAACAGAATGGTTTAGAGAATGTAGATTAGATGATTCCTATGCTAGCAAAGATCAACTGATGAGGAGCAAAGGTAGGTTCTGAAACTCAAGAGGTCTGTTGTGCCTGTATTATTACCTGCTAAGGAATACACGAGACAGATTTTGTTCTGCAGGTGATGATGCAGCCAGCATTGGCTTTGAGATTGAAGTGGCCCAGGTTAATTAGATCATATTGGCTACTGTTCATTGGGCACCTGCTATGTATCAGGAACTGTGCCTTCTTGTTTTATGGATATTATTTTCTAGCCTTCATGACAAATTATACAAAAGTTTTTAGGTAAGGATCTAAGGCTCAGAGAGGTCAAGTAATTTGCTGCTTAAAATTACACATTCTTAAATGGAGCAAACGAAATAAAAGGAGGAATAGGATTTTTAAAATATGAATTTCAGATTAAGCCATTAAAGCATAGGAATAATGAGACTTGAATGTAAATTAGGAAGTTGATTAGACAGTCATGTTTTGTTTTATTTATTTATTTAAAATATTATTTATTTATTCATGAGAGACACAGAGAGAGAAGCAGAGACATAGGCAGAGGGAGAAGCAGTCTCCCTGTGGAGAGCCTGATGCAGGACTCTATCTCAGGACCCTGGTATCACGACCTGAGCCAAAGGCAGGTGCTCAACCACTGAGTCACCCAGGTGCCACTTTTTTTTTTGTTTTTTGTTTTTAAAGATTTTATTTATTTATTTGAGAGAGAGAGTGAGCAAGAGACAGAACACAAGCAGGGGGGACGGCAGAGGCAGGGGGAGAAGCAGACTCCCCACTGAGTAGAGAGCCCTTTGTGGGGCTTAATCCCAGGACCTAGAGATCATGATGTGAGCTGAATGCAGACGCTTAACTGAATGAGCCACCCAGGAGCCCCTAGATGGTCATGTTTTACAACAAAAGGAGAATAGGAACACTGAAAAGAGGAAATCTGTGGTTCAAAGTGAGGCCATTCAAGAGTAGGGTGAGAGCTCTTAATAAAGGCATGTTCTGAAATGATATAAGGTTTTTAATAATAAAAAAATGTTGCTTCTGTGTTTTAAAGTTACTTGATAATTATATTACGTGAGAGAGAGTGAACAAAATAATTAAGTGCACAGGGTCTGAAGCCAGACTGTCTGGATTTGAATTTTTACCCCCAATTTAACTTGAGGCAGATGATTTAATCTCCCTGAGCCCAAGTTTCCTTATCTTTCAAATAAGGAGATATAATACTACCTATGTTATAGAATTGTTTAAGCATGAAATGAAGTGTATGTCTCTCTCTCTATTTTTTAAGTATATGTCTATAAGAATAGTGTTTGGCAAAAAGAAGAATGCAGTAAGCATTAGCTATCATCGCTTTGGGCCTTAGTCTTTATTCAACAACCATTTATTTAGAAATTATCTACAGTGAACCAAGGATTGGGCCAATTTCCAGGAATACTGAGATGGATTACAGATGATTTCTGCCTTTAAACATATTTGATTTTTTCCAATATCATACTTTGTGGTTCAGCAGAAATACTACTGACTACGTCTTGTTTAAAGCACTTTCCTGAACTATTTGGGCCCCACAGATTTAAAATCTCCATTTACAGTGCTGCTCATCAATGTAAGGACTAATACCTCCACTCTGCCTACCCTTCCTCCAATATGACATTAAGATCCATTCATCCCCAGCTATCTTTTATGGCATGTTTCCCTTGACCCACATGGCAACATATGAACTTAGTGAGATTAGCTCAGTAGTCCCCTCCTACTTATGTGTACCAAACCCTCAGAAGCTGAGTGTACATACCACTCCCTCAGGAGTCTCTGGCTTGCTACTTCATTAGACTTCTGTGTGATGTAGTATGTATTATTAATGGATGCATTTCCTTCCCCGAGAGTATTTTTTTAAAATATGACTTTATAAAGCCTTATTTCCCTAAGCTGGAGAGAAATGTTAATTATTAGAATTTTCAGTGCTGTTATCAAACCTAAGGAAGGTTCGTTTTGAGAACATCAGTGATTCACTGCTTCTTAAACCACACCATAAAGCTATTCATCCCTGTGTGTCTCAATTTTGGGTTACCAAGGGATCTAAGTAATTCTGCTTGTGATGGCATTTTCACCTTGTCTGAAAGGATTCTCAATTAGGCATTGCAGATTTAACATTAACATTGTTTGAATAGACAAGAACTGTTGAGAGGAGGGACACCGTGTCCTCTTGAATGTATACACAATACATTATAATGGACAGATGAACAGTCACGATAACCTCTGAGAAAAGATTGAAAGGGAAAATGTCTACATAAATAAATGAGAAAGAAATGAAAAAAGCAAGGTACTTGCATCTAAAATAACCAAGTGATTTTATGAAAAGCTATTTGAATATAGCAAGGAAGCCCTCAGTGGGATCATTGAGACAGTGGTGAATTGTTTACCTGCCCAGAAGAGACAGACACAAAGTGGCATCTGATCACTTAGCTTTCTAATAGAGCCCGCATTTATTAAAGGAAATGTGAGCAGATCAGATCATAGGGCATCTTCAAGCAGCAAACAACTGTTACTGAAAGAGAGAGGTCAGATCCATAATCAGACAGATCTGAAGCTCCGGACTGAAATGTGAATGCAGGAATGGGAATGAGTCCCTACGAAGCAGTTCTTATCTGTACTCTGTGAAATGTATTTAAAAAGTAACAATCATATTTGGTATATATCTGAGACTTTAAAAAAGATTTTATTTATTCATTTTTGAGAGAGAGAGAGAAAGAAAGAGAGAGAATGGGCAGGGGGGAGGGGCAGAAGCAGTCTCTGATGAGGAGAGAGCCGGATGCAGTGCTCCATCCTGGGACCCGGGGATCATGACCTGAGCCAAAGGCAGCTGCTTAACTGACTGAGCCGCCCAGATGCCCCCATATCTGAGAATTTAAAAATCTTCCTATTAACTTGATATACAAAATAAGAATATGACAAGGATTTTGTTAACAGCAACAAATTAATGCTAATGCTTCTACACACAGCTTAGAATATAGCCTAAAATATATTATATATATTAAATTTTTTCTGGTGTAGAAAAATCAAACTTTACATTTAACCTGAAATGCATACCCTGAGAATCATTCTCCTTGGAAGACACAAGTAATCCCTGTTCCCTTCTTTTTGTCTAATAGTTTTGGGAGAAATTAACGAAGGACTGTTTGGCCAATGAGAATGTAACCAAGAAAAGAGAAAACACCCTAAGTATTTAAAACAAATGGAATTTAATCTAGAGAAACAGTTGCAGGGATGATGGAAGAATTGAGAGTTAAGCAGGGGATCAACTCCAAGATCAACAGCAGCAGGAAGCCAAAGGCATGACCACCCACACATCTAACGAGAGAAAGGGAAGAGGTGATATTACTGGAGCTCAGAGTTCAAGGTTACTGAGGGAAAGTGGGAACAATGAGGTGAGTCTTGGGGGCAGAGGTGGAAATATAGTCCAGAGGGGTCAGTCCCCATGGAACCAGTAGAGTAGGAGCAGAGCAAGGAATGGACAAGAAGGTAAACACTGGCGCAGACCAGCAGAACTGGAAAATAGAGTTAAGTAAATATGTTTCTCATCTTCATTTTCTCCTCCAGAAAATGAAGGGCAAATTGAAAATGAAGGGCAATTTGCCCTAGAAAACTAGGGCAAATTGATTTACTGATATTTTTTAAGGGCTCTAAGTTTGGCACCTCTGTGTTCACCAAACATCTTGTAAATAGATGAAATCACCATTTTAGTTCCACATACAATCTCAATAAACCAAATTTACACACCCCAAAGATTATGAGGGAACGAGCATCTTCACTTTGAAGTTAATAAAAAGTATAAAGGAAGCATTGGCATCTTCTGCATTAGATGTAGAAAGCGGTCGATGCTATGTCAGTTGCATTGTTTTATTAAGAATTGTGAACAGAGGTTTATTCTGATGGAAATCATCGTTCTTCAAAGTAGATAATAAAACCACACTTTGAAAACTGGACTCAAGAGGAGGGGGGAAAGCCACACAATTTCCTGCACAAGACCACTCAATTTCCTCCATACCTTTCTATTCTGCTGAGGAATGACAATGGCATATTGCGAACGAATAGTAAAGCACCAATTTGCAGGCTTATGTCTTTTGTAGCATGGAAGGGTAATTATGGATGATGATGTGAAAAATATTTATCCATTATGGCCAAGCAAAACAAAGCTTGATGTGTGTGAGCATGTGTGTGTGTGCTTAATCATACATGGCAGTTTAAAAACCACACCTAACCTAAACCATGTCCTACTTTAATTTAAGCAGTATAAAATCTCCCCATGGGCAGCCTTTGAAATGTTAGCCTTGTGTGGCACACATAGACTTGTTAATGATTAAACTGTCATTACCACCATCAAATTTTCCTCCAGTTTATGCCATGAAAACATAGTTTTGTCTCATTCTGGCTTATTACTCTGATGCTAAATACTTTTATATATTTAAAAGATTAGATGACCTTTAGAATAGAATGAAGTACTATGGCATTTGCTTAATAGAAACGAGGAAGAATGTCAGGGTGTCTGTATGTCATACCTCATACTCCAGGTGATTTGACACAACAACAAAATCACAAAAGGCATGTAAAAACTAAGTCTTTCACTGTGTGGCACCCCCACTAGAAGTACAGAACATTGATAACATTTAACCCCATTTTCTTTTCATGCAAAGGAGAGAAGCACTTTTAAGAGGAAATAGGGCAAAGTCCATCTTAAATTCTTTGTTTTAGATACACTCACCTAAAATTCAATGAAGAAACAGCATGAACTTTCCAAAACCATCTATTTTCTCTTCTTTGAAATGGCAGTTGACTATGGCATTTAGAGGCTTCCCAAGCACTTCATCCAGGGATAGGTAAATTTTATTTATCTGCAATGAGAAAGTATACTTTTATTTAGCTAAGCAACTTACACTTACATGTTTATTACAGAAATAGGAAGTCAAAATGGGCAGATCGAGAACATATGGTATATTACAAATCCCCTCATATACTAATAATCCCTTTAGTTGAATTTCTAATATTCATTTTCTAATATTCATTCATTTTCATTTACTATAAGAAATGTTTATAAAAATGGATGTTTGTGCCAGAAGTTACTGTATGGGTGAGTATGGTGAGGCCCAGGCAGGTGAGGTGACTGTCCAAGATTAAGCACCTGGTTGGTAACATACAGTGGCCTTGAACCTTGGGCTCCTGACATACCTCTTTATTTTTAGTTGATTAAAAACCCAGAAATGGGAAAATATGGAATCTCCTGTGTTTTCCAAGTAGGTAATTTTCTGGAATATTGTGTTACCATAATTTCTACCAAAGCCAAGGAAATTACAGCTGAGGTTAGAGTTAGGTTAGACCAGCATTTCCTCTAATGATTTAAGCCTGAGCAATCATAGGTAGATATCCTACAAGAGCAGACTACCCCAGAGGCAACCTGACATTATTCAATGATTTGTATGATTTATGGTGTTATGAAGTAATAACATAAATAATAAATAGTTTGTAAAATTGCCTGTTAATGTTTCTTAACAAAGCTGAATGATTTTCTAATCTTTTGCCTTCTGGGAAAACTCACAGATAAGAAGTGGAAGAGAGAGGTTCTAGATGGCACTTTCCAGCAGATTCCCCAGTGGTGACCCAGGCACTCACTCACCATCTGCCATTGCTAGTCTTTCTTACCAATCTTTCTCATCCTTCCCTTGCCTCTTCCCCTCCTTACCAACACACAGACTGGATGTTACTTACACCTTAAGTGCTGGAGAGCCTGTAGCAGCAGGGAGCTGAAACTCAGGGAATCCCATGTTAAGATGAAGGAAAACAATGGGAAGGGATCATAGAAAATAAAGGGGAGAAGGAGTCTGATGGCTGCAGGGGTAGAAAAGGAAGGTATACACCCCGGATGGGAGAAAGGTGCCATCTTGTCTCCAGCTCCACACCTCCACTTCCCCTGACCACTGACTTCTTCAACCCTGGTTATCGAAAAGAATTACAGTAACTATTTTAGCTCTCCTGGCTTCTGGCAACCTGTGATTTTAGGTTCCTAGGGAAAGTTCTATACAATAACTCCCTCTCGCTCTAAATCAAGTTTTTAGATATGTTCATTATTGTAAGAGATTTATTTCACAGGAGATAAAGACATTTTCACTACATAATTAACCCTTGTTCTGTGTCACCTTAGAACCCAGCCATCTTTCCCCATATTTGGATTCTAGGTACATACATGTATTTGGTATTCTTTGAATTAAATGTATTATTACAACAGTAGTACTTTTTTTTAAAAGATTTTTAAAAAATTTATTCATGAGAAACACACACACACACACACACACACACACAGAGTGAGAGAGAGAGAGAGAGAGGCAGAGACACAGGCAGAGGGAGAAGCAGGCTCCATGCAGGGAGCCCGACGTGGGACTAGATTCTGGGTCTCCAGGATCATGCCCTGGGCTGAAAGTGGCGCTAAACTGCTGAGCCACCCAGGCTGCCCACAACAGTAGTACTTTCAAACATTTTTTGTTTTCTTAAAGTACATGCTCCTTTTTTTTCTTTTCAAATTGAGAGTTCAGGCAAATTAGAGCTATGCATCGGGGAATAAGTTATATCTTAAAAATATTCTCTCTTCCTCATGAATGCAGCTCTCTGAGACCCCACATCAGGAAATAAAATGGAAATATTACACAATCTTATATACTTCTATATAAGACTCTATAATGTATATTACACACATAGAGAAATTGACATCTAGCTGTATCTGCAATAGAGAGTCACTCAAGAAATCCTTTGGTTTTGGCTTGGGGACCTCTTAGGATCATGCTGCTGGTGTTTGCTCTTCTACCTGGAAATTTGGGGAAAAATGTTTTGCATTTTTGTCTTTTTTTCTAGGTTCCTGGGTTACCTCAGACTGTAAGAGACAATGAGGGAGACGATGTTCAGATGGAGATGCTGTGTTAAAGTACCCCAGGGGTTGGCTCAGGTTGCATGACTTGACTAGATCTATGACTTCAATAAAAGTTGCAACCTGAGTGATACCTTGATTGTAAGCTAGCTTCCATGTTTGCTATTCCTTCTCCACCAACAGTGGCCCTTATTCAGCTTGTATGTCACAGGCAGTGATCAAAAGCAGATGTCGAATCTGGAAGTAGCTTTCTCCCTACCCAGCCTGGATTCTCTGCCCTGTGACTACTCCAGAGTACACAGAGCTGAGTTTCTATAATTCTTTCTACTCTGAGCCGCAGGGTGATAGTCTCCCAAAGTGCCATTGAATTAAAGGCATCCATCCTACTCTCTCCTCTTGCTGTAGCCCACTGGACACTGGCAAAGCAAAAGTCTCACATGAACACTGAGTGGGAATAAAAAACAATACCTTCCTCTCTTCAAAGTCTTATTTAAATTCTACATCAGCTACAAAATTCTTGTTTGAATGACTTGTGACTAGAAATTAAAATTTAACATCATGAGATAAAATTAAATACTGTCTCTTTTTTTCCAGCTCCCTGAAAAGCTCCCAGTCACTGTCTGATTGGAGGTAGGAGTCAATATCTTACCACAAGAGAAAGGAATATTTTGGTCATTTGGGGTGCTCTGTTTTAGATATGGTTGGGTAGATGTGGCAGGAGGCAGATTTTTTGCTTAATAAAATAAACTCCTCAAAACAGAGCACACAAAAATAGAATGGGTCACCTAAGAAAAGAGTATTTTTCAAACTAATGGTATCAATCTAACTGAGGCTCAATAATCACTTGTGGTGGTGGGATTTGGTCAAGGGCATGTATTCATTACACAAGGGTGGCATGAGTGGGCACTCCCAACTGAGATTATATAGAAGCTAGCCTGATATTAGACTGGAGTGGAGTTAATAATTACATTTTGTCCATAATTATGCCCTTACTGATCTTCCCACCTAAAATAGTACTCCTTTCTCATTCTCTACTGCTCATTCTGATATATTCTCCTGCATGGCACTTCCATTATTTCTTTATTCATTCTTTGTCACTTCACATTAGAATATAAGCTCCACAAAGGCAGTAATTTTGTCCACTGCTATATCCCTGCTGCTCAGAACACTGCCTGACACATAGTAGGCCTTCAGTACTATTTAATGCATGAATAATACATACAAATTTACATATCTCTTTTCTTATAAATATTTGATTCAATTTCCTCTTTCTTACTTCTATCAGTTTTCACCATGCTGGAAACAATTTCATCACAGTTGGAAGAATTCAAAGGTTGGGACATATGGGCAGCTCAGTAGTTGAGCGTCTGCTGTTGGCTCAGGTCATGATCCCAGGGTCCTGGGATCAAGTCCTATATCACGCTCCCCGCAGGGAGCCTGCTTCCCCTCTGCCTATGTTTCTGCCTCTCTCTCTCTCTCTCTCTCTCATGAATAAATAAATAAAATCTTAAAGAAAAAAGAATTCAAAGGCCTTTATTCACATTGAAAATGTAAAGAACCCAAGTAAGTATTTTATCTAGTTTCATAGTTATGTAGGAAAAAGATAGTCTACAAGTTCAAAGGCAGATTGAGGATGGTGCTCTCCAATATTTATTTGGTAGTCTTTTCTTTTTTAGTTATGTTTGGGAGACTACAGTGCTAGGAGTCTAACCTACTAGATATCAGAGGCTAGGATGGAGCCCACTTTCAGATCACTTTTAGGTCATAGGGGGTCTTCTGTAGTATGAGAAGCAGCTGCAGGTGATGATGACCATGGACTTATAGAGGGTGCTCCAGGGAAATGCAAAGATGGAGAGCCATACTGCATTCAGAAACATATGACACTTGGTCTTTTCTGGTGTTTGACATTGCCAGTTGGCTTAAACTCTAGGGGCCACTAAAAGTTTTTGGCAAAGAATGATGAAAGACTCTTGAGAAACAATATCTAGTTGTCCAAATAATTTCTCAACAACTGAAACAGGTTCTGTTTTGTTTCTGAGTGACTCTTTGTTGTCACATTCACAAATACTAGGTTCCCATGCCAGTGCTGAGGCTGAGCTTAGGGTTGTGGCCACCCCTCTTCGGCAGACACAGCATCAGCCAGATCCTCAACAACAAAGAAGATGCTGGAAGGGGAAGGAGAACAATTCTGAAAGGTGCAGCATCTTCTGGTGTTGTAGAAAGAGGACTGAACTATGATCAGAAGTTGGGGTTTTATTTTTGTCTCTATACTATTGGGCAAGTCATTTACTGTTAACTGGGTTTCAGTGTTCTCATAGTAAACTGAGTATTGGTCTAGACCAATGGTGCTCAATCCCAGGGTGACCTTGGACCACCCCAGGACATTTGGTAATGTCTGGAGGTGTCTTTGTTGTGGAGGGAAAGCAGATGCAACTGGCATCTAGGAGGTAGAGGCCAAGGATGCCACTGAACGTCCTATAAAGTAAAGGACAGCCTCAACAACAACAAAATAATTATCCAGTCCAAATGATAGTAGTGCCATTTAGAACCATCCAGACCCTGTTCTAGATGGTTAAAGTCCCTCTCAGTTCCCAATATCATTCTGTAAGTTTGCCACTGGTCCCATCCAGACCTCTGAAATTGCCCCAGGTAAGCCTAATTCCCCTTCTGAAGCTTCCTTCAACTCTATAGACCACATTGAGCTCCTTCCTACACCTCCCAGCTCTGTTCTTAGATGCCCTCCACCCCCAGACCTTGATGTTTCACACCAGCCTTTGAGTTCATTCGTTATAGCTCACATGACCATGTAAAACTGCCAGGGATTTTCTTATCTCTCTGTAAGAACATAAGCAGCCTGAGGCCAAGGGCTGTCTTGTTTATTTCCTCCTCATCTTTAACCTCATCTTTCATGATGAATAATTCTTTTCGTTAAATGTTTGTTTGAGGAAATGACTGGTGGTGTAACAATTAGCTAACAGG